TGTCACAAGACAAGTGGCCAAAGGACCCCCACCTTGTCTTTGAGCGAACGTACATAGGCGCGCACATTCAAAAGAGAAAAGAGGAGAGATTATGAGATGATGGTTGGGAGAAAGAAAAAGAGAGAAGAAAAGAAAATAAGAATTTGACCGAGTGGCCAGCCTAACACAGTGGCTAAATTGGTATGATGATTGATTTGTCATGGTAGAAAGACGGGCACGGTAACGCGAATCGACACAATGACAATACTATTCGACGACAGAACATCGACACCAACCAGCCTGACACATTGGCGAGTTCGACGTGGCAGCAAGACAGACTCAATAACTTAGACCAACACAAAGAAAATACTGCTCGACGACGAGACCACCGTGACAGTGTTAGACTTGTCCCTAAGTCAAATCAAAGAGGAAGAAGAAAGAAAAGAAAGAAAGGAAAAAAGAAAAGTCGAGAGAGAAATAAAGAGAGTAGAAAAGAGATATAAGGATGGGGTGGAGAAATGAAGAGAGAGAAAATAAGAGAGAGAAAGGAGAGCAAAGAGAAGAAAGAAAGAAGAGAGAAAAAAAGAGAGAGAAAGAAGAGAGATGGGAAAAGGGAAGAGAAGAGAGAGAAAAAAAAGAGGGAAAGAACATGAACGACGATGATCACTGCCATCCAAGACAGAGGAAAGAGGAGAGTGAAAGAACATGAACGACGATGGACTTCTGCCATCCATGACAGAGGAAAGAGGTGAGAGAAAGAACATGGGTGGTGATGGACTTCCGTCGTCCATGACAGAGTGAGACAAAAATGAGAAATGATAGTCATGCGTGGTGATGAGCAACGCTGTGCACGACATGAGAGAAGGGGAGCTTAAACAGAGGCCCGACCCGCCACTCGGGTTAAGGCCCGGCTCACTGTGCATGCTTCCAAAGGATAGGGGAAGATTGAGAATGTCATGCCCAACGATGAACATCATCGTGCATGATTGGAGAGAAGAGAGAAAAGAAACAACAAAGTGAGAGAGAGATAGAGAATTTAGGGAAGAGAAAGAGGAAAGGAAAGAGAGAGAAGGAAAGTGAGTAGTGAAAGAAGAAAGAGTAAGAGAAAGTGAGGAGAGAGATTAGGAGAAAGCCAAAGGAGAAAGAGAGCAAGAAAGAGATTAGGAAACAGAGAGGAAGAATAAGGAAAGAAGAAAGAAACACCCACGACGCTGCCATCGCCGTGTGTGTCAGAGAGAAAAAAATAAAGAGAGATTCGTGCATGGTGTTGCCATCGCCGTGCATGTTCAGACAGGGAGAGATAGAGAGACAGAGAGAAAGATAGGGTAGAGAGAGAAGGAAGAAGAAAGGAGAAGAGAAAGAAAGCAGAGAGAATAGACAAAGGAAGAAGAAGAGAGAAAGAGAGAGAGACATGCACAGTTATGGTCACTGCTGAGCATGTTTGAGAGGGAATGAGAGAGACAGAGAGAATAAGAGCAAGAAGAGAGAAAAAGATACACTAGAAGAGAGAGAAAAGAGATAGACGAGAGAGGAAAGAGAGAGAAAGATAGAGATGAAGAGAGTGAAAAAAGGAGGAGAGAAAAAGTTACCTTATTGAAGGGTACCAGCCCTTTTCTTTTCTATCCTCTCTCTCTCCAAGACGCACCCACGTACTCAAAGAATAATCTTAAATTTTATTGTTCCATGTAGAGAATGAGTGGATCCTTATATAATTAGGTTTAGCATATATTTATAGAGTTGGGCCTAAAACATGGGTGGATGCCTAAAAAATATCTCAATTGATGATAATTACAATTATTTTTAATTAAAAGAAATTAAAAAATTTGGTACAAAATGACTGTTTTGCCCTTTCCTAACAATTCATGGAATTCCAAAACAAACCCTACTGCTGCCCTAGAACGTGCGTGATCTTCCATGGATGATCCGGGGTTGCTCTGGTGTCCATTTGTCAAAAAGATGATTCTTTTTTTGCTCGGCTCGATATGGCGATCAATTTGATACCAATTTCAAGCCACGGATCGTGTTTTTAAGCCACGATCATGTAACTTGAAATTCATGCGAATCTTGAAAACTTCTTATCGATAGTGCTCTTATTTCTTGATGTTTTTTGTGTGATTCCTTTGTTGGATCACACTAGGCATTTCGTCACGATCGCGTTGCAACAAACGTCGCTCGATTTCGTGCAGGAACAAAGATTTTGCCATCTTGGGTTTTTGGCAGGAATTTGAATTTCCATGGCAAGAATTTACAGCAAGTTCGACGCATTTGTGAATGAAATCCAGCCGTTCATCACGTATAGGGTTTAGAATAATAGTAGCCCTGGGCCTTACGCACATAATGAAACTGGTCTCAAGTTGATCGGTTGTACAAGCGTCGTGATTTGGCCGCTCGAGCGAGGCATGTCGCTGCTGATTTCCTGCATCTTTCTTCACAAATTGAAAACTTCTCTCTAGATTTTCTCTCTGCTCAGGTGTCATCATGAGACGTGTCACACATCGAAACGCTCATCTGGACAAGACCAACACACTCACAAACTTTGAGCGTGATCTGTTTTGGGACGGGTAAGATATGACCCTGGAAAGTCACTGCTCGATATTACAAAATAGTCACCATTAATGGTGTTTTAGTGCAAGAAGGGCGCACGAGAATAGTGTGTGGCATATCCCATTTCCGTATTTTACCTATAACTTTGTCTTGGAGCGCCTGATTAAGCCGAAACTTGACTCATAAGGATTTTCGACCGTGCCGGATCCAATAATGTTAGTCCCACAACATATTAATGCACCAAAAATGTAGTTCTAGTTACGGGGTCCATTTCGGGGTGGTAGAGGCTGATGTTTCCAAAATTGTTTCTTTGTCTACATTGCCTTAGACATGTTGGATTGTGACGAAACTTAGCAGGTGGCCTTTTGAAGTGCTTGTGAATATTTCCACTTGGTCTCGGAAAATTCTGATACTGTCGAAAATTCCACTGTATGCCTGACTTTATTGACCTGCTTCCTCTTTATTCCGCATCAAGGACCCAAGGTGCTGAAAAATGTGTTCTAGGCGTCTTCAACACATGACACTACCCTTTATGCATGCGGTGATGCTTCTTTCTCTCTTTCTTCGTCCATGTGTTTTTCCATACGTGCCTGACTCTTACAAAAATATGTGGTCCTTACATCACTCCCTCCTGAAAAAGGATTTTGTCCTCAAAATCATATTGATGTTAATAAAAAAAGTGGGGGTACTTCTCCCAAATTTTGTCCTCCCATTCCCATGTTGATTCTTCTCTTGAATGATATTGTCATTGTACCCGGACCAGGGGAATTTCTTTATTACGCAAAACTTGTACCCTCCTATCTAATATCTCAATCGGTTTCTGAACATAGGTCAGGTCTTCTTTGATAGGGATTGGTTCGTACTTCAAGACATGGGACGAGTCGGGTTGATATTTCCTCAATAGCGATACATGAAAAACATTGTGAATGTTGACTAATTCAGGTGACAGGGCAAGCCGGTATGCCACGTTTACAATTATTTCCAAGATTCCAAAAGGTCCAATGAATCACTGGCTCAGTTTCCCCTTTTTGTCGAATCTCATAACGCCCTTTGTCGGTAATACTTTTAAGAAGACTCGATCACCTACTTCAAACTCGAGGTCTCTCTTGTGATTATCGGCGTAACTCTTTCACTGACTTTGGGCCTCTTTAAGCCACTCCCGTATTAAGGTAATCTTCTTAGAGGTCATTTGAACAATTTCAGGCCCCGACAATTTCTTTCACCCACGTCATCCCAACAGATGGGTGATCTATACTTCCCTCCATATAAAGCCTCATAAGGCGCCATCTGAATACTAACTTGGAAGCTGTTGTTATAGGCAAACTCTATTAGGCGTAGGTGGTCCTCCCAGATTCCCTTAAGATCAGTAACACACGTCCTCAACATGTCTTCCAGAGTCTGAATGGTTCTTTCTAACTGCTCACTGTCTAGGGGTGGAAGGCGGTGTTAAAAGCAAGTCAAGATCCCAAGGTTGACTGCAGGCTTGCCCAAACCTTAGAGGTGAACCTGGTGTCCCTGTTGGACACGATGAGGATAGGTATTACATGCAACCTCACAATTTCTTTGATGTATAATTGGGCCAGTTTATCCAGAGTATAGGTTATATGAACCGATAAGAAATGAGCAGCCTTAGTTAATTAGTCCACGATGATCCATATACTATCATGTCCGACACTTTACCTGGGCAATCTAGAAAAAAAATCCATTATAATGTGTTACCACTTACACTCTGGTATGGGTAAGGTTTGCAACAGCTCGACGAGTTTCTAATGTTTTGCCTTCACTTACTGACACGTTAAGCACTTGGGGACAAACTGAGCCACATCTTTCTTCATGTTGTTCCACCAGAAGGTCTTTTGCAGATCTTAGTATATCTTTGTTCTCCCAGGGTGTACCATGTAACGGGAGTGATGGGCTTCTTCTAGAGCAACCCTTTTTACACTTTCGTCATTAGGAACACATACTCGGCCCTTAAACCTTAACAACTCATCACTATTTGCGGTGAAATCCTCTCCTTCCTCCACTTTCATTTTGTCAAGAATTTTCACAAGTTGAGGATCTTCTTTTGTACCATTCGGATTTGTTGGAAGAGTTGGGGCTCTATTCTCATACACGAAAGTGTCCCAACCCCATTCTCAAGGGGTAGGGTTGGGTGTCATTCCACTGCATCCTCTAGTAATAACATTTCTCAAACCATTAGGTGTGTTACTGATATTACGGCTTTCCGACGTAAAGCATCGGCTACTACGTTAGTTTTACTTGGATGGTAATCGATTGTACAATTGTAGTCATTCAGTAGATCCATCCATATCCTTTACCCCACGTTCAACTCCTTTTGAGAAATAGATATTTGAGGCTCTTATGATCTGTGAACATCTTGAATTGGGCTCCATAGAGATAATGTCTCCAAATTTTAAGAGAAAAAACTACCGTTGCAAGCTCCATGTCATGAGTTGGATAATTTTGTTCGTATGGCTTCAGTTGCCTGGAGGCATAAGCAATGATCTTACATCTCTACACGAGTATCGTCCAAGCTCCTTATGGAATGCATCAGTGTAAACCACAAGGTCCTCATTTCCCTCGAGTAAGGTCAATATCGGGGTTGTGGTTAGTCTCTTTCTAAGCTCCTGAAAGCTTCTCTCACAATCCTTTGACCACACAAACCTCACATTCTTCTGGGTTAGCCGAGAAAGGTGGAGTGCTATCTTTGAGAATCCCTCTACAAAGCGCCGGTAGTATACGGCTAACCCGAGAAAAATACGAACTTCCGTCACATTTGTTGGTCTCTCCCACTTAAGTACGGCTTCAATCTTAGAGGGGTCGACCGTGATCACATCTTTAGAAATAATGTGCCAAGGAAGGATACACTAGGGAGCCAAAATTTACTCTTGCTTAACTTAGCATATAATCTTTCTGACTTCAAAGTTTGCAAAACCATTCCCAGATGTTGTTCATGTAGTTCTCGGCTTTTCGAATATACCAAAATGTCATTAATAAATACCACTATGAAATCATCCAAGAAAGGTTGGAACACTCTAATCATCAACTCCATGAATACAGCATGGGCATTGGTCAACTTGAACGGCATTACGAGGAATTCATAGTGACTGTATCGAGTTCTAAAAGTGGTCTTTGAGATATCTCTCTCCTTGACCCGTAGTTGATGATAACCTGAGCAGAGATCAATCTTCGAAAACACTTCAGCTTCTAGGAGTTGGTAAAAAATTTCGTCTATTCTAGGAAGGGGATATTGAACGTATTTTTCAACACCTTGGTCCCTGATAGGAAGCAGGTCAATAAAGCTTACAAAAACAGTGGAAATTCTCGATAGTCTCAGAATGGCCCCAGAATTGGTCAAGATCTTCATCGGCACTTCAAAATACCACCTACCAAGTTTCATCGCGATCATATATGTTTAAGGCAGTGAACACAAAGAAACAGTTTCAACAAAATTGGTTTCTAGCACTCTGAAAGAGACTTTGTAACTAGAGCCATACTTTTGGTGCGACAAATAGCTGTGGGACTACAACCATTAGATCTGGCATGGTCGAAAACCCCTATGGGTCAAGTTTCGACTTAATTGGGCACTCCAATACAAAGTTATGGGTAAAATACCAAAAAGGGGTAGGTCACACACTATTCCCGTGTGGCTGCATCAAAGAACCATTAAAGATGGCTATTTTTACGGTCACTGGCAGTCATTTTCGGAGCCTATAACTCACTAGTTTCAAGTCTAATCGCTCTTAAATTTGGTGAGCGTGTACGTCTTAGCAAGACGAACAATTCGATATGTGGTACGCCCCATGACGACGCCTGAGCAGAGATAAACTAAATGAAAGTCACTGATCCGTGAAAGAAGTTGCAAAAAATTCAGCAGCAGCATGCCTCTTTCGAGCAGCCAGATCACAATGTTCGCATACTGGATCGACAAGAAACCAATTGCATTATGTGTGTGAGGTTCGAGGCTATCTCTGGTCCGAACCTCGTGTACGATGAACGGTTGTATTTCACACATGAATGTGTCAAAGCTGCTGTAAATTTCGGCCGCCGGATTTCAAGATTCCGGTCAAAAACTCAAGACGACAAAATCTTTATCCGGACACGAAATCAAGCTACGTTTGTTGCAGCATGATCATGATGGCAGGCTCAGTGTGATTCAATGAAGAAATCATGAAGAAACATCAAGGAACAAGCAAACAATCGATTCGATGTTTTCAATATTCATCTAAAATTCAAGTCTCATGATCATGACTCAAAAACATGATTCATGGCTTGAAGTTGGTATCAAAATGATCAAACGAGCATCAAAACGACCCCGGATCAGCCACAGAAGATCACGCAAGTTCTCGGGCAGCAGCATGGACAGTTTTGAAATTCCACACATTGTTATGCAGGAGCAAAATAGTCATTTTGCACCAATTTTTAGAATTTTCTTTAACTTCAGTTAAATTGTAATTATCTTCAATTCTAAATTCATATTGATAATTTATTAATTATAAATTATAACTAATGTACATTATACGTACATTATATAATTGTGATAATTAAGTTAATTGGATATAACGTAATTGGTAAAATCATATGTTTTGCCCATGGACACATCGCATATGTTGAGAGAATGGTGTGTTTTGCGCTCTAACTTGCGCACCGCATAGTTTGTTGTCCCCATGCGAACCTTTCCCTCATGCACAAGTTTGTATAATGAATTTGACGTAAATCGCTTTTTAGACAACGAGGGGCAAGAGTACGAGTACGGAGTTTTCGGGAATGCACAGTGCGCACAATTTTGTTATGGACCCTAAATACCTTCGCGCTCAATTTTGAAATATTTAATTTGCGTACATTTGAGCGAAGTGGTCAAGTGCGCCATAATAAATTTTGTACATGGCCCATGATTACATAGCAGTATGGATATCACCAAACTATATTGATCATTTATGGCAATGATTAACAACTAAGCATTATATATTATGGGCATGCAATAATTTAATCCCTACTATTTTGTAGGTTATGCGCGTAAAATGGGAACTCCCCACTATGGTACGGTTTTAAATGATATAAATTACATCAAATTCATTATATTTTCCAAATTACCCCACGAATTTATAAACATGACGGTAGTTTCGTTACTATATTTATTAAAGTCATTCGGAATAAGTAATTGAATAAATTATGGGGTGAATACCTTGTTTGGCAATATCCATACTAATATGTAATTATAACAGGAATTGTAAATATAATGCCATGCATAACCAATTATAATATAAACCATGATTGAATATAAATCGAACAATTTACATATGACAATTATTTGTGGGTAATTATTGTAAATCACAATTCGAAAAATAACTATAACGTGTACGTTTATAATTATCACATGATTTTGTGGTTAACCTAATGTTATTATCTACTTGACAAATATTTGTGGGTAATAAACGCGTTAGTAAATTTATGTGGACATTACAAACGGTTTATAATATTTGTGGGTAATTCAAATATTTATTACGCATAATATAAGTTATTGGACGGTTATGCAAATATTGACCATAAATATACCTTATATAGAAATATAATAAATTGGATGGCAATTTAGTGGTTAACTATATAAATTGATTTCAACACCAAATATAGATTGTCGGTCAATATCGTAGGTCAATTTCTAATATACCCAGTGGTAATGTGAAATAATTTGAATTTAAATATCATAATTATATATAATATACAATGAATAAATAAAGTTTAAACTAGTACAAATGATTATGGTATATTAATATAAACTAATGTAGCATATTTGACCACAGTTAAATATACTAATTATTGTAAATTAAATATAATTACGTGGGGCATTTAAAGTTGTCACGTAAATAGCAATATATTTGATACAGCTATAGGGATAATCTAAATTTTACCCCTTGAAATTACAAAGGTTCAAGATAGAGAGCGTTGTGAAGGGTGGCTGTTACAGTTATAATCCGTAATAGCTTTATATTATCGAGTTACGTATATATTTATGACATTAATTATATATTAATATAAAGTATAAACGCTTATGTATAGTATAAATCCTTACCATTTATTAGTATAATCACAATTATGGTTGTTATACGACCATTGATCACCATAATTGTCAATTCTCGTTATGTATAGTGTTAAATTGTCCATTATTTATACCAAACAAATTAATTACGATAATTATATTTAATATTAATGGTGTATAACTATTATATATAATCAACGATATTTTAGCACAAGACGCCATACATGCATATAACTCACTAAAATAACCGTTACTAAATAATAGATGGTAATATCCAATTATTTGATTAATATATTGTTAAAACTAATATTAACAATATGGGTAATATTATTTTATATATATCATATGGTAACCAATTATAGTATATATACATTTTGGTTTCGAATGTTGGATATCCGAAAATGTCATATTTCGAACGCCCAACATCCGAAACCATTTTCTCAAAGAATACAATGTATCGACATAAACCTTCAATTCGGATGTTCAACACTCGAAAATGCGAATGTGAACGATAAACTTTCCGCCTATTTTCGGATGTTGAACATCCGAAAAAACCTCCAATTCTGTTGCTCAACATTCGAAAAAGGGTAAAGTCATTTTTTTTAAAAAATTACGTTATAAAAGGTAAAAAATGGATATACATGTAATAACAAAAACTATTTGGTAAATCTGTAGTAACGCATGATGGATATTTATGTAATTTTCTTATATAATTAGGAGTTATAATTTACGCATGAATTTGCGCAATATATAATACATTCACAAATTCATTATGTATTAATTTGATCATAACATATATTATAATAATTATTTATAACTAAATCGTTAAACGTACCGGAAATCGATAAATTAAGTCATAATGATATTATACTATTGAAAATTGGTACGATGCACCGCCACGCCAATTTTGTTCTAGTAACCAATCATTAAACGGGATTATTATATTTGTTATTCATAAATTATGAACAATTTTCATACAAAATTTCTCAAGCGATAATAATTATAAACATAATTGCACATAATTATAAATAGGTATATAGTGATTATAACAAATACGTATAACATATATAACATATTGGATAATTGTATGTTAGTAATTATAATATTGACATATTATAGATATGTGGTAATCATGCTATAGTAATTTATTATAATGATTATCATATTATTCTAAAACATACGGTTATTGTAAACAAATTTTCCCCACGTGGTCAACACCGTAATTTAGTGTTGTCCCCAACCCTCTGCATTTTGTAACGCCATGCGCATAAGTAACGAAACTATAGATCCATAAGTTAATATTATATAACACCGATCAATTATGACCGTCATGATAATTATATTTCAATTATAGTACGATTGAATTTCCAATATAATGTGATTAATGTTTATAAAATGTTTAACCGTAATTCTTAATGTATATTGGCTTGTACAATATAATTATCACAATTACAACATACCGGAATTAACACTTTTATGATCGGTGCAAATTGAAACTTGATTACGTATGCCATCATGTGATTGAAATATACCTAGTGGTCAATTTACACAAATCCGATAGTAAGAATCATTTCAAACCGCGCAATTCAATATTGAGTAAGTTTGTGCGCACTATATTTTGCGCAATTATCGTACTATCAATAACAAATGATAGTAGTAAATTATATAATTACTTGAGTTGGAAACAATGATTTAAAACGAATCGACATGAGAATTGGTCACCCCATGTTGATTCTTGTGTAAAACTCATGTCGGTCACCCCATGTTGATTCTTATATGAAACTCATGTCAATTCTTGTGTAAAACTGCGTATGGTTCTAGAGGGGAATCACCGGTTTGAGGAATCACCAGTTTTGAATAGTGAACCGCACGCATGACGACGTCACATATCGGCAAGAACTGCCTTCCATGAGAACCGCCTCCATGGGAACCAGGCACGTAGACAAATCACGTCACAAATCAGCAAGAACCTCCTCCATGGGCCCAGGCACGTGGACAAATCATGGGCCTTCGTATGAGGACATCACAGATCAGCAAGAACCTCCTCCACA